GCAAAACTCCGCATTTGAACAGTCAATAGCAAATATTTAAACTAATAACAAAACAGTAGCTGATTCAGAAGCGCCAGATTGTCATAGCAAAGTCAGAATTACCTCCTCTCCTAGGTTCACGAAACGGTCGTCCATAAAATGCATTGCTGTTCTGTTGTAAGTAATCTTAAAGATTCCTAAATGCATCTACTTCCGGAAGGCCAAATAAAGTGCTTTTGCTTTCGCCTAGAAACACACAGCGTCTCCCTGACATGCTGCTTCAACACTAACTGCGGTTACTGAAACCACGCCTTCTTTCTTTGCGTGCACATTTGGGTGGCATTATGCAAATATTTCCACATAGTGAGGTAGATACGTGGGGGCGTGTTAGAACGAGCCGTTTTAGGGGGGCGTGGCAGAGTCTTAACTTTGATAAAGAATATCTCTTTGGTTTTGAGACTTTAGTCTTTGCAACTTCAGGGATCTTATCTATGCACAATCAGCTTGTAACACTCCAAAGAGAAAGGAAAACTTGAAATCACATCATATGACCCCTTTAAACCCAACTGCCTGAGTTCTAATCTTGTGTAAAAACCTTTGTTTGTCCGTTTGAGTTTTTTGTACATTTTTAGATTTTCGGGTTTACTTGGTTGTGTAAATAGAGAACACAAATCTGTAGTTAGCTGAGTGAAACGATGCATAAAACATTAAAGGGATAGTTCACACAAAAATGAAAATTACCCCATGATTTACTCACTCTCAAGCCATTCTAGGTGTATATGACATTCTTGGTCTAAAAGAAGTCCAATAAAGCGCATCCATCCAACATAAAAAGTATCCCACACGGCTTCGGAGGGTGAATAAAGGCCTCCTGTAGCAAATCGATGCGTTTTTGTAAGAAACATATCCATATTTAAAACATTATTAACCGTAATCTCTAGCTTCTGCAAACTGTCGTACACGCGTTCATTCCGGCGGATGATGTAAGCATAGCGTAAGATCCGGTGAGAAGTGACGAATCAGCAAAACAAAACGCCGGTCATGAATAAGAAGTACAAAACAAAGATTTGAAATGAAAAATGTTGGAGGATTTCGATATACTGTAAGCCAAGAGAAGACTGGTTTTCCTTTGCTAAAGTAAGGAAACTGCTTCCTTTGCTCCTGTAAACAAAGCGAGACTAGTATATTCTCAGCGGACTTTACGCTACGACTCCGTCACCTGCCGCAGTTATATTTTTAATATAACTCAGATTGTATTTGTCTGAAAGAAGAATGTCATATACACCTAGGATGGCTTGAGGGTGAGTAAATCATGGGGTAATTTACATTTTTGGGTGAACTATCCCTTTAAGACCAAGCAGAAGCTTCGACAAACCATGCAAGATAAACTAAGCAGAATAGAAGAATAAGTTCATGGGTACAATTTCACAGTATTTGGGAAGAGCTGCTCAAATATTCGCTTCACTTCCATCAAAGACCCATATATATAACCGTGAGTCAACAGAGCCGTACGTAGCCAGCTAAAACAGGACAGACAACCATTTTCAGTCAGTGAAGTCTCTGAGGTTTACCGTGCTTGACGTCTGTGTGTTTTTTCTCGTCACAGATGGAGGAGAGTCGCCGTCCAGCTGAATCTTCTGGATGGAAATCTCGCTGCTGAGGAAAGTTTGAAGTTCATGATGTCGGTCAGGATGAATGTCAGGTGATCAGATGAGTGTTTGCGGTGTGTTACAGTACCTGCTGTGGTGTGTGTTGGTGTGTTGTGTGTAGCTGTGTGTGGAGGAGCTCATGGGAATGACATTCTTCAGCAGACGAACCCACGTCGCCATGTCCACGTTCATCTGTTTAGCGCGCAGGAAGGCTTTACCTGAGCAAACGAACATACAGTAACTCCTTCACAATACTATTTCATATTATACTTATGCTATTTTGAGACTAAAATAATTAAAATAATAATAACTAAAATGATTAAAATGATTAATTCAGGCGTATTATTACAAAAAGGCAGTTTTTATCATTTTCAAGTACATTTTACATAATGTATGAATATCTAGGTTTTTTAGCATATACATCCATATCAAACTTCATACTAAATTTCAAAGTGTATCCTTTACTGCTTCCAGTGCATTCAGCATGGGATTCAGCCTTTGTACGCAGTGTTTTTCCCAGCATGCATTGCTAACAGGTTTGAATCAGTGATTTACCCTGCTGTTTGGAAAACACCTTCCTCTGCCGCTGTAGACGTGGACCTCGCTCTATCACAGGGTTGAAGAACATCGCCTGTGACACACAAGTGTGAATACAAACCGTGTTTTATTAGGTACAGACTGTCTACCAAAGCATGAGGCCAGCATGAGCTAAAAGGGATAGGGTTCACCCAAAAATGAAAATTAACCCCATAATTTACTCACCCTCAAGCCAACCTAGGTGTGTACTGTGTATGACTTACTTCTTTGAGACGAGTCCAATCAGAGTTGTATTAAAAAATGTCCTGGCTCTTCAAAGCTTTTTAAAGGCAGTGAATGGGTGTTATTTTTCAATAGTCCAAAATATGTCAAATAAAGCACATCCATCCATAATAAAAAGTATTCCACATGGCTCCGGGGGGTGAATAAAGGCCTTCTGTAGCGAATCAATGTGTTATTGTAAGGAAAATATCCATATTTAAAACTTTATAAACGGTAATCTCTAGCTTCCGGAGAGAGAGAGAGCGCAGCGGAGAGAGCAAAACAAAACACCGTTCATGAATTAGTAGTACAAAACAAAGATTTGTAAAGAAATATGATGGAGGATTTCGATATAAGCTAAGAGGAGACTGATTTTCCTTTGCTAAAGTTAGGAAACTTTGCTCCTGTAAACAAA